GTGTGTGTGTGTGTGTGTGCGTTTTCTGCTTCTAGCTGCTGTGCAGCTGCCAACAGGCTCAGCTAAGCAACTATACGGGCCCCCCAAAAAAAAACGCGAAAATGGCAAAACACAAAACATCCCAACAGGGTTGTCTGAGAGGGACAGGTGAGTGAAACCCATAGAAAAACACATACCGGGAGTGTGAGGATGTAAAACAGAAATAAAGAGAAAGAGCATTTGCGCAGATGAGTTACGCACAAAAACGAAGGAATATGGTTGAGAACTTCGTGGCTGTGTTTCACTCTAGATAAACGAAAAGAACACTAACGCGCAGCCCATTGCCTTGTAACGATACCATCATTACCAAGTACAAGAAATGAATTCCGTTCATGTGGTGGTTCCCGTTATACTCTCTTCCCTCATACCACACAAGATGAACATCCGCACACACACACAAACACACACACGTAGGCACGCAAACACACAAAGAGAGAGACGCAGACATACATCGCCGCCCAAAGAGAGGGGGAAACGATCCATCACCCATTTTCATTCCTTCCTTTTCACACGGCTCAATTTTCTCCCATTCACACAACAGCAAAATAAAAAAGAAAAGATGATAGAGGCACACGCATGCCACACCCGTATCTCCCTCTCTATCGGGCAAACCTTTTTTTTTCTCCTTCTGTATCGCTCCAAGCGGCAACCTACAAATACGAGCAGGCAGTAAGAAACGGACAGCGAGGCAGAAACACATTCGTCACCCATAGCTATTTATTTTGGGTATATTGCATCTTACTACTCCCGTCCTTTTTCTCTCTTCCCTCACCGCTTATTTGCTATCTTTCCTTTATTCCGTCTGCGTTTTCTGTACTTTCCGTCCCAATTACAGTATAAGTTGAAACCATTTGCAGCGGATACTCTTCTTTAGAGCGAATAACGGAAAAAGAGATAGGAACGATACTGTCTAGGAATCTTCACCACCTACAGCTTTTCTTTGTTCATCCTTCATGGCGTTTTAGGCTCTGTTCATGATCATCTTTACTCCCTAGCGGCGCTGTTGTTGCTGTTGTTGCTGCGGTGGGAACAATATCTGTGCATTGGGAGGGAATCCCGTCGCCCCCATGGCATACTGAGTCGTCCCATCCGCAGAACGGTATACCACCATCGGCTGTTGTCCCTGGCCAGGGACGAAACCAGCGACATAGTGGCCATGCATAGTCTGTTGTGCATAGTAGGGTGCACCTTGTGCCCCACTCATGATGATGGGAACCGGCTGGGGAATACCGTGGTGGCGGTGTTGCGGCTGCGGCTGCATGAGCTTTTGGTGCAATTGTTGCGGTGGAACTTTTTGCATGGTCATTCCCCACGGCAACGGCATGGGCTGTTGTTGTGGAATGTGCTGCGGGGGCTGAGCCAAGGAAACCTGAGGTGGTGTACGCTGCCCAGATGTAGGAATCGTTGGAGGAGTTCCAGGCGCCGGTGCGGCACCACTCATTGAGGGAGTCCCAGGAACCGGTGCGTGGGGAGATGGCTGTGGTTGCGGCTGTTGTGTGTGAGAGCGTAGCGTATTCTGCTGCACCTGTTGGAGCAACTGAGATTCCAGCGCTGAAGCGTCAATAGGTTTGCCTTTAGCCGCCTCTTGCTTTGTTTGTTTATTGTTCATCTGGCCACTTAAAAGCATTTGCTCTAACTCCTGTGCGTTCCACGTTCGGGCCTGAGTGATAGGCGATGTCTTCGAGGGCTCTGACGCTGGTGCTGGTGCCGCTGTAGACGGAATTGTAGATGTTGTCGTCGATGACGGTACCGTTCCCAACAAAGATGGTTGTGTCATTTGCACTGAAGATGGAGCCGACACACCTGAAAGCATGGAAGACTGCACAGAACCTACAACCACATTAGTTGGGACGGCACCGTTAGTAGCGGATGCAGGGCCTGCAATCCCAGAGGCCCGCTGCGCATCCACGTTGTTCCAAACCACATTCCCGCTCGTTGGGACCATCGCGTGAAACGGCCACTGGTCCTTTGTAGATATTGTCGAAGGCAGCGCCGATGGCTCCATGAAGGATTGTCCAGTGGCCAGGGGAGCAGTTGTGGTGCCTTTGTTTCCAGATTCCGCTCCAGAGAAGAAACGCGACTTGGTGACCTTCTTGGTCGCACCATCACCCAACCCAATGCTTGTCATCAAACGTTCCATTTCGTCGTCATAATTGACCTTGGCTTCCTCCTTTGCGGGAGCTGGCTCGTCCTTTTCCTTAGATTCTGCCTTCGTCTCTTCCTCCGCAGCATTTTCGCTTTTTTGTTGTTCTCTCGCCATGGTTTCCTGTAGAGCCTGTTTTTTTATGGCATTCCGCTCCAATTCATACTTGTAGCCTTCCTCAAATGCCTCCTGGTCCCTGCTGCCGCGCCAGCCACGCGAAGGGGGTGCGAAGCGGTCGTTGTTTGCTGTGCGACGCCCACTTGCGCCGTTTTTCCCTTCCCCTTTGCGATTGCCACTGCCGCCACCACCACCACCACCACCACTGCTGGCGCTTTCGTTGCGAGGGGGCTCCACTGGAGTCGTCTCCACGAGTGGTTCCGTTTCTATTACCTTGAACTTCTGCAAGGCCCCAGCTGTGAGGGTAATCTCGTGCGGCTTTGGGGCCAGTGACAAGAGTTCTGCCCGTGTGTATCGAACCGTGACGCTCATCTGTTGCTGCTGTTGCTATTGCTGCTGCTATTGCTGTTTTCAGCCTCTTTTCTTTCCAATTTGGAGCCAATTTCAAAAAAAGTAAAGTTCAATCCTCACTGCAGCTGGGTATCACCAACTAAGCTATATGGTAGAGTGCCCTGGTACTGTTCCGACCCAACGATCAATCTCGGTTCCTTCAATAATCTGATTGAGAGTAAGAAGGGGAGAAGGAAAAGGGAAGCAAACAAAAACAAAACATCTTGTTTCAGCAAGCACCAAAATGACCATCCCACTGTGGTAACGACCACTGTAAAGAAAATCAGTCTCACGACACAACAGGGAAAGAAAAAGAAAGATGAGGAGAATACAAGACAAGATATTCTGTAATAAACGGTGCAGGTAGAATTCTTGGCCAGTAAGAGATAACGACATGTTGGCTCGGCACTTGTGGTGTTAAAAACGCCTTGTGTCAGGAACACTCTCCCTCCCCCTTTTCTCTTTCTCTTCATAATGTACCACTCACAGCTCAATCGGACACTCAGCAGTTCCCAACTGCTTGTCAAAGCTCGCAGCCGCATGAATTCCCTCCCCAACCACGTGGTCCCCCTTCCCTGACAGCCGTGAGCCGCACAAATAATGCTCTTGCCCCACTCCCGCTTCGTCATTGTCATCATCAAGGACAACGTCGTGGACACCACCCGTCAGCTGGTTAGGCACCCAACGAAAAGGCTCCGTCACCTCACCGTTTCCAGCATCCAAATCTTCTTCCTTCTCCTTCTTCATTTTCTCCCTTTTTTCGACCGACCTCTTACTCAACAATCGGAGGTGAAGTGGGCAACTTTCACCCGCCTCCTGGAGGTACCGCCACAAGACCGTGTCCACTACAACGTCGCTCGGGCGAAGTTCTGCGTCACACAAAGGGCAATTCCAGTAGCACCCCTTGTGGCAGCTAAGCAGAAACGATTGGCAGTCAAAGCATTGAAGGTGTCTGCAACGTGTCCCACGAATAGGAACATCAATACGTGTTTGCAAAATAGGGCATTTGCTCGTGACCACAGGGTCGCACAATTCGACCTCGCCTGAAAGGGCATCCTCATCCTCCGTCACACTCTGGTATAATTCGTAGATAGCGGCGTCACGTGCCTCTGGTGGATTATTTAGTGGCCTTACAAGCTCACTCGTAACCTCCTCTGGTGACGCCGGCTGCACAATCATCAGTGCCACCTGGCTAAAGTACTCCCTTGAAAAGATATTGATCTGCAACCTCTGGGAAGCACTACTTCGATTAAGGAATTGTGTGATATCTAGAGGTAGGAATGACTTCGCAACCTCCACACGACGCTCTGGCCACGAACGCTTCCAGGGCGTCATGACGCATTGATCGTTCACGTATACAACGATATCCTTTGCCGTGGGCCAGCGCGACGGAAGTGCTGGATGACGAAACGGCGCAAGTTGCACCCGGAGGCGCCGAGACGCCACAGCATCCACATATTGTACAGGAACCTCAAACCGTAATGGAATGCTACCAAAACGCAACTGAAACCGTTTCACCATGTGCAGCACGCGACTAAAAGGAGAACTGGAATTGTTCATCAAGATAAGTTCATCCGCCGCCTCACGCACCGAGGTTAAGGATTTTGGTGTTAGTGATGATGCAGCAAAACCGTTGTCAAGATCCACCTGATTTGAGGTCATGAGACGCACAGTCGGGCAAGGAGTAAGTGGCTGAGGTGAACGCAAACTACCCATACAACCCGTCGAGAGAATTAGACTTGCTGGTTGCCCTGCCGGCGTTGTAACTGGCCGCTCCGGCAGTGCAGGAAGCATGACACGTGGCGAAAGCTCTCGTTCATCTGTCCCTGCCGCGAGGAGATCCTCAGAAAGAAGACGCCTACGCTCCGACTCTAGCAGCTTCAGCGCAGCAGCAGCAGCATGTGCTAAGTCCGTTTTACGCCCTTTAACAGACAAGTTGGCGGCCATTCGAAGCTCACCGTGACTCTCCAAAATAGTGCGAAGCTCCATAACCAACTTATGCAAATCCTTCGCAAGAAAGTGATCGTGCAACTTCCCTTCCAGTGCAACACGCTGAAAATCATCCATGCTAAACGGATTAGGCAGCACACGCTCGTAGAGCTGCTGCCACTCTGTTGGCGAAAGACCACCCCGACGCTCTCCATTACCGATGCCGTCACCAGATGGTGATGACTCACGGCAGATTCGTCTCCTAAGCAGTGGAGCCTCGACGCTGTCAGGGCTACGCAAAAGGCGCCTCCGTGGCGTGCTCATTTAGCATGCAGCCTTCTCACAATTCGCGGGGCAAACAGCCCGACGCGCACGTCGAGAGTAGGTACGAAGGAGAAACTGGAAGGTACCTTTCTGAATGGTCCAAAACGAAGAAAAAAAATGCGGTTGCTTTACAAGGTGAACCTCCTGCGCGGTGACGCCGTTTAGGACTTGTTACCAGAGAGAAGAGAAAGAAAAGAAAGCAACCAAAATGCAGAGAGGGTGAAAACACAAAACGACCTCCGCTAGGACCAATGAGGAGACATAACTCACCCGGGGCACAAGAAGGACAAAAGTTCAAAAGAAGCGTACATTCAGTTTTCCATAGCACATAAGAAGCTTTTTAAAACGGATGCCTATGACGCAAAACCGACGCCATAGCAGCCAACAATAGGTTAGGCGTACGGCATCAACATTTGTTTTGTTTGTTGTCATTTTTTGCTTTGCCCCGTATCCTTTTTTTTTGTCTTTCACGAGGCGTCGCGATGCTTCCGGGGACTGTTCTGCGGCATATGTCAGAACGGTTAGTACATACTGCGAAGAGGACAAGGAAAACGAAGAAGGGTGCGCAAGAACAACTTGACTAAGCGAAATCTTGCCTTTTTCCCCCTTTGCTCACTTTTACCCTTGACACAACTACACGCAGGGAGTGTGGGATGCATACTCACACGTACATAATCATATTTTTTTTTTGCATTCAAGCGGCCTACAAAACATAAGCGCCCTCTCCTCTTTCCTGCTACAGAATAATAATAGTAGTAAGAGGCGTCGCAACCCGCTTTTCCCCCACTATTGGCGGAATTCATAGGAAAGAATCTTCACAGTATGCCAACTCAGCGAATTGGCACTCGCCAGAAGAACAGTTTTCCTTTTTTTTTACTCATTCAAACCTCCTCTCAAAAACGCATTTAGCCCTTCGGGGAAGCCACCGCTGTACTGGTGGGAGGACAATCACGGCCACACATCCACACAGAAACGAACAAACAGTAAAATAATCACTTGAAACATGTTCAGACATGAAAAAAAAAACAAGCTGTATACGCGTATCATAAGCGTCACGTGTGACAGACTTCAAGAAAACATCATAATTCCGCCTCACTCCAGTTCATTCTCCCTCTTAACACAAGTTGTATATCCAGGGAAACAAGAAAAAAAAAAACAAGCCAACTAGAACCCAGCAAATTCTGCTTGCTGCGCGGCGGTCAGCGGAGCCAAACGGTCATCCTGACTTTCTGGGTACCGCTCAAAGTTACTCGTGTCGCCGGCGTTCTTCGTCTTTACAGGAATTGGGGCGGGGTAGTGACGCGCGTAGAGTTTATCCCAGTTGGCACCCTGGAAGTACGGGTGGCTCTTCACCTCTGCTACGCCACCCTTCATCGTGCCCAGGCGCTTTGTGTGGTCAGTCTGCAGCAAGCCCTTCACAAGATCTCGTGCACGTGCGTCAAACCAATTTGGAAACTTGAAGCGGCCTGAGAGAATCTTCTCGTAGGTACGGAACGGTGTGTCATCGTAAAACGGCGGGTAGCCAGCAATGAATTCGTACAGTAAGATACCCATCGTCCACCAATCAACGGCCTTGCCATGGCCCTTGCTTTGAATCACCTCGGGTGCAAGATATTCCGGGGTTCCGCACAGAGTGAAGGTGCGCTCCGGCACCTTCTTCGCGAAGCCAAAGTCCGTCACCTTCACGTGGCCCTTGCCGTCCAGGAGCAGGTTTTCCGGCTTCAGATCGCGGTAGATGATGTCTTTCGAGTGGAGGTACTCGAAAGCCAGCACAAGCTCCGCGTGGTAGAACTTCGCTACGTCGTTCGGGAAGCGACCGGCAGAGCGAAGGTGAGTGAACATCTCTCCGCCTATCACAAACTCAAGCACGAAGTACACACGCTTCTCGTCCTGGAATGAGCAGATCATGTTCACAATGAACGGGTGAGAAAGCTCCATCAGGATATGCTTTTCTTGATTAATATGCTGTACTTGTTTCATCTTGATGATCTCACGCTTCTTCAAGCACTTCACAGCATAATAATTGCTTGTACCCTTCAGCTTCGCGATGCGTACACGACCGAATGAGCCCGTCCCTAACGTGTCTCCCAGCTCGAGGTCGGACAACTTCCAATTCGAGCTGTCTGGTTTCTCATACACGTACTTCTCCACCATGGGTATTAATTGTGCTGGCTGTATTCTTCTCTACCTTTTTTTTTCGTCCTTTTTCGTGTGGAGCTACTGTTGGCTTTACTGCACCCAACTTTAGGCGTGAGGTGTGTTTAAAATAAAAGCAGAAGCAAAAATTGAGGGGGAAAAGCCGCTAAATAAAAGATAACACAGTTTCACCACGCACAGCAAAAAAAAAAACGGGGGTCACTACACACAAAGAGACCATTACCATCACACCGCTCCTTGCAGGCGTTTAGAGGTATCTTTTAACGTCATGTAAGACTTTCTTTCATTTTCTCCCTTCTCTCCATGATGCCTTTGGTATGAGTGTGTGTGTGTGTGTATGTGTCTTTATGCGGGTTCTGTCGGTGGTGGCTACGCCATGGCATCGTCAATATCCGCAATGTCAACGGCAGCGTCTTCCTCCGAGAGACGAACAAAGTTGAGGAAGTGGTCTGGGCGGTGTTGTGCGGCGAAAAAGAATTGGGGGAGGTCTACGCACACCTCGAAGTCGGTGGTGTCGCGCCATGTTGCACCCTTGAAGGCGTAGTTCCACCCGCCACTGGTGGGCACGAGGAAGAACCCTTGAAGCTCCGCTGACAGCGTGGCACGACACGGCACAACGTGCGTTGGTTCAACCTCAATCGGTTCTCGCTCCAATGCCTTGGCGTAATGTTCTAGTGCCCACGATATGCCCTCCCGTGTGGTGGTGTAGCAGCGCATGTTGAGGCCGTCCTGGGAGATGCCCAAGACAGCCGTAGTGAGACCCTCGGTTTGCAGGCCGTCATTGGTGGCCAGCAAACGTCCGTGCAGCGCGACGTCCCTCGAGTGGACGACGGGATCACCACCACAGCACCGCAGAACACCAAGAAGTGAGAGATGATTGTCAACAAGGGCGGGGTGCTGGTGTTGGATGCGAACCGGCGTGGTGCACTCCACAGCGGAACCCTTCTGTGGAGGAATCATGATGCACAACACCTCCTTCACATTGGGTGCATCGGTGAGGGCCTGACCGAAGAGGTACGCGCAGCACTGCGCCTGCACGTCACAACATGGAATAAAAACCTTTAGCAACTCCATGGGTATAATAAGCTGATCGCTACTTGCCACTGCACCTGCCGCGTCGATCTCAATGGGAGTAGACTCGTCAAAAGCGGCTGCATCGGCTAAGGAACGAGTGCGCCAGTTACTGGCTGTTGTAGAGTTGCCAAAATCAAATGCTGCCTTCACTCTTTTCTTTACAGTCTCTCCAGACTTCGTTGTCACGTTTACTGTCTGTTCCTGTATCAATTTGGTGCGCTTCATTTCCTCGAGTTCTTTCATTTCTTCCTCCTGAATCTCAACTGTTGTCATCTTCTTCCCCAGGAGAATGTCCTTCTTCTCCATTTCTGTGAATTGATTCGGGCTGACATTCATACGTCGAGCTGCATCCGCAATGATCATTTCCTGCAATCGCACAGATACACGCTCCCACTCTTCACGGGCGTACGTCGGCCAAAAATGGGAATGGTGCACCTCCACATGAAGGTCAGGCACAAGTGTCTCACGCGTGCGGCTGAGGTTCACGTGATACCCGCGAAGGATGAGGTTTACAAGGTTAAAGCATGTTGCCGGCTGGAATTGTTGCAGCCAATCATCATACAAACAGAACTCCCAGCCCTTACTCTCAGTGGCAGAGATGCGCAAATCTGCCAAACGGCTGTGGCGCAATACCATTGGAATAGCGAGGTTCAGATCACTTTGTCCAATAATAATGTTAGGGTAGTCTAACACAAGCATGTTGTGCAGAGTTTGCCGGAAGCGACTACGAGTGACGATTATCTTACCCGGCCTTTGACTAGCAGGTGTGCTACGCAGCCACGATGCTATTTCTTCTGCTGCCTTTTCACGGGCCAGCTTTGTGCGTCGCTTCTGTCCGGCGAAAACGCTCTTATGCACTATGCTGAGTTTTAGTTGACCGGTTGTTGGCTCAAATACAAGTACAGCTCCGTTTTCAGAGCGGAATTTCCTTCCTCCCTCTGCAGTCGGCTGCTCACTTGTGACATACGTCGCGCTGTCGTCAACAATCCACGTCCGCATTCCTTCCGAAAAAAGCTCTGCAATGTTTGTAACAGACAATCCTGCTTCTGTTGGGGCAGAGCTAAAGAGCTGCAGGTCTCTCTTCATCCGATCACGCAGGGTATTGAGGGCAATATTGTGCCGTATGATAGCTGACATGAGCTTTACCATCAATGGTTTAAGCTGCGGAATCCAGTAACCAAACGCAGAGTGGCAGTTGTATGCCAAATCAATGCCGACAACAATACCAGCTGGGAACGGATACATCTTTGCTGAAGAATACTCGTAAAACTTCTTCCTCGTGTATTCTGCAATATTATGACTATCGTAGTTACCCCAACGCAGTTGAACATCTATCCAAAATTTACCCGTAGAATATGAGCGATACTCATCACCATCTTCATCCGAGAGAACTGTCGGCTTTGCCGTCACAGGCCAACGAGAAGTAGATGTCATAATAACATCAGCCGAAGAACTAGTGAAAGTGTACGACTTCTGTGGGTGCTGTTGTTGTAGTGTAACAGAAGCTGCATCCAACTCCACCATGGTATCCCTCAGTTTGCTTGCAATATCATTCACCACCGCCCCATGACACTTTTCCCATAGTGAACCACTAAAGATCTTAATTAGTGACTTCTTAATCGTTTCGAGCTTTCCGCACATGAACACTCCAGTCGTGTCAATTTTAGATTCAAACCCTGCTTGGACGTCCGCTCTATTAATGGTTGGCGACCACCACAGCGCAAAACGCCTGTTGGGGACATTGGCAAGACCTGCGCGCTGCTGCTTGGCGAGCTTGCTGTCCTTCTTAGAATTCTCAAAACCTCCAGAGCGGTTAAACTCAATACCTTCCCATGAAGGAAATCCCGTGCCTTTGAATAGACTATGCTCAAGAATAGCCTCGACACCACCGAGTGCGATGTTCATGTCAACGCGGTACCGCTCCAGTACTCCACCACAAATATTACCGTCGTGCTCTGGGTGAAACCACCAGTTTTTTAGGTATTTCCCCGCGAGGTAGCGCTGGAACTCCATACGGCAGCGAAAACCCTTATCAAACTGAAACAGTTTCGCATGCCGAGAAAAGAGTACACGTATACGTGGGATACCCTTGTTGATGATGTGTTCAACGTCGTCAATGGAGAGTCGTGCTCCAGCCGCCTTTGCTTCGCGGTCCCGTACGCTGAATTCAGTCCACGCCTTGACGCTTTCTCGAACCTCCGTTTCCCACGGCGTATAATACTGCAAAATGTTGGGGATAGGAATATCATCGGCATTTGTGAGGCCCGAGTAGAAGAACTGCACGCCTGTGCTCGTCGACTTGGAGTAGATGAGATCTCGAGCGGGGATGAGGGAATGACCAACAGACAGCATCCCGAGACCTCCAAGGTCTGTAGGCGCGTAGAACATCGCAGGGGGAAAGCGTGCTTTGGAACGCGAATTCAGTGCCATCATGACTCTGGACTGCATGCGATGCTCTGCACGAGCAAGGACCTGCTGAAGTGTGTCTGTCCCTAATATAGCTTCACGGTAGTATGGAACAATCTCCGTGATAAGCGCGTTCCATTTTGCCGCGATACTCTGAAATGTGGAGCTGCCCACCATCATGATAGCACGCCTGGACTTGTTTCGAATGTTGTTAACGTGATCCGGTGCGACCTGGAGAAAGGCCCGCGCTGTGACATCTTTAGTTGTGACGTGTTGAAAGCTCCACATCGACTCACTCTCTAGCACTTCCTCCTCTGTACGGCACACTGGCAGGACACGCACAGAAAAGCCACCCATATCAAATAGCAGATTAGGATTATCCTTGGAGTAGACACTTACAAATGAGTTGGACTCATTGATTTCCGCGATGCTGGGCGGAAGACGACCACGAAATTCCCACAAGACCGCACGCGCAAGATTCACATCATTGAGGAACAAGCGCATGCGTGCGTCTCTTGGCCATTGGCTGGCATTTTTGAATCCGTAAACAGAAGCGTTCATCGCGCGTCGCTCAGGGTCATCTTTCGTTTCTTCTAAATAACGTCGACGAACATCATCAGCCTCGACTTTTGTGTACTTTAGAAGCACAAACACCTCATTCTTGTACCTGCAATACCCACGAATAGGGTGAGATGTGGCAAGCAGAGGATCCCGCATAAATGTCATGAATGGATTGGGTCGCCTTGCAGGTCCTGCGATCTCTTGACTACGTTGCGTGCCAAGGAGCAGGATATCCACCACAAGGCCCCAGTATTGAGCCAAAAATGAAGAGAACATGAATCCACGCAGGAGTCCCTTGCGGCACTGATAACTCATGTCTTTAAACTCCACCACAACATCATGACGGCTGACGATGTACTCTACCAGAGACTTATCCATAATGAGCTCCAAACAAGGACGGAAGAGATTCCAGTCCACATTATCATAGAAGCTGTCTTCCAGGTCAGCTCGAAGCAAGACCGTAGACTCTTCCCGTGCAACATCCCAGATGCCGGGGCTATCGTTTATGCCTTGGCACCACTTGTACACCAGAACTGGAACAGGCTCTGTATCAGACGGCTTTACCCAGTTTGGAAACAACCGCTGTTGATCCATCGCCTCGTACCAGAGGTATTGGTCGAGGAAGGAATCCACAAGCTTCTCAGCCGGTACAACGTTAAAAATCGGATATAAAGTTGAGAAAGTGTCCATGTATTCCACCTCGACATTTTTGAAGCGACGCACACGTGCTAAGCAATCCACGATCTTCGACAAAGTCTCATGAGGAGAGTTGAAAGCCTCTTCAATACGTGCCTGTTCCTCGCGTTGCGCTTGAGTAAGGCGGTTCGCAATGTTGTGCTGATCACGGAGTCGATTAAGTGCTAACTCCAGTATGCGCAGCTCTGCCGGTCTTGAAACCTTCGGGAATCCAATCTTCTTAAAACCACGATCGCTGAGCCAGTTTGCCATTGTGCGATAAATCTCAGTCGCTTCTTCGGGTGATATCACACGTGCATCAGTTCCCTCCAAGTACGCACGTTGACGGTTCTGTTCTTCCATCAGTTTCAAACGCGTAAGGCGTCCCAGGTTCTTCATGAAGGCTTGCTTATCCACTGTGTCACCTTCGTTGATACGTTTTCGCTGGTATTGTGTAACCCGAATGTACTCTTCCGCACGTAACTTTACGTATTTATTTACCAGCTCTGTTAAAGTCTTCGCCAACCCTGGCACAGACCATTGGAGACCAGCACGCCAATGTCGGAAAGCTTCATTCATGTGTTGATCCATCGTACGAACAACATCTGCCCGCACGTTTTCGGGCAGCATCTCGCGCAGTTCTCGCCTAAAAGCCTCCTTAATATTTACGTCCTTGTCTGTTTCCACACGCTGTCGCGTGATACGCTTTCCGTCGTACTTCCCCTTTGACTCACGTCCACGTAGAACGCGATCGGTGAGATTGCCAAGGTAACGCTGCAACAGAGGAGTCATACCGCGCAAGAAAAATACCCAAACGCGCCAAGCCGGCGCCCAGAAACCACATCCCGGACCTCGCAATACTTCACCCACGTTGAATTTGCTATAGAGAACATGCTTTAAATCACGGGTTCGCTTAATCTGCCTCATTGCTCGCAGCTTGTACCTGTAAACGCCCGTGAGTCGACCAAGGTGTGAAAAGAGGTACTGAGTCGCATCAGCCAGCTGAAGAGCGTCAGTTTTCCCGAGCCTGTACATAGCGTGCATGTCGATGAGTTGCTTCATGAATCCAAGGAGCTCCCGAATCAGATGAAATGCGGGACCCAGACGACTTTTTTTGATTTCTTTGGTTGTAAGTGTGCGGGTTGGTTTTGCCTCGAAGTTGTAATCAATGTGAACGTACGGCAGGCACTTAACGTTGATCAACTGCACCAGCATGTTATGCCCTTGTCGCATAACCTGAAGTCCCGCCTCCATCCAGTCAACCTTTGTTTTTTGAAAATATTTCAACTTTCTGAGCTCGTCTAGTCGTCTAGGGGGGTGTGACACGTCTTGTGACTCTTCATTCTGGTGCGATCGCGCCTTTAGACGATCCCGACGTAAGTTCTTCGCCACATGATGCTTTAACAGTTGGGTGTAGCTTCGGAGTGTTTTGTCGCGTGTGTCACTTGTCAAGAGATTCGGAGGATCTTGACACCAGTGTTCTGCCACAGGAATATCCACGCGACGCTTCATCCCACCCTCAAAACTGTTGAACGGCGGAGGCGCCATAGCCAGCGTCATGGCTTGTTTCGTGTCCACATCTTCTAGCGGCAACTCCTCTAGAAAGGGGACGAAATCATCCGGAAGCACCAGTAGCTGTTCTTCTTCAATATTTTTCTCTGCCCCTTTCACTCTTCCTTCCTCCGTACCTTCCACCAGTTCCTGCACAGAGCACAATGCAGCTGAGCGTAACGCACCTGCCGCTGTTGATGCCTTGGGGTGCCTGCGCGGCAAAGCCTTTATTGGGTTGAGTACAGGGTTCCATGCAAAGCAGGGCATAGCCGGATCATCGTTTTCTACACGAACTGCAGCAGGGTAGTGGTACGGCGCCACTATCACCGCATCAACATCATCGCCATAGAGAAATGGAAACGCAATCTGACGCTCCGTCAGCATTGTGAAGCGTGGCTTTTGTGGGTCATCACGGTGAATCACTCGCCGGAGGTCGTTGAACTCCGTCCAGTCATCGTCCTCCGCCTGCACCGCAGGTGGAGCCTCGAACTTTGGTCCCCTCGGAATCGCGAGATGCATCGCCTTTGCCGCGTAAAATGACTTGAGGTCCCACAGATAGTAGTAGTTACGGTCGTCCAGTGCGGGGAGAATTGGCGCGGCGCTGCGGAACAAACATTCCATAGTGCTGATAGAGAAGTAATATCCGTTCGGCCGCCGCGGCCCACGGATTTGGTTTGGGTGCACGAGGCGAGGAAACGGATCGTAGAACCAATCCAAGATGGCGGCGGCGTCCTCCTCATCAAGGTCATCACGCACCGCCGGCGGCGGCTCACGGTCCATGATGTAGTCACCGTAGTCAATCGGGGGCTCATTCTCATTACTCTTGTGCACCATGCGGCGGAAGGCGCCGCCTTCCTGCTGTAGCCCCACCTTATGTGCGCGCATCCCCGTCCACATCGACCCCCACTGCGCCAGATACACTGGCTCCGCCACCGTTGGCGTATCCTCAACGAGTGTAAGAAGTCCCCCCATGTGATACACGACGTTAACGTAGCGTGCCTCCTCCCAGGGCATCGGCATGTTTTCGAGCAGCTTGTAGAGAGCTAGTGGAATGTACTTCAGCAGTGCGACACACAGCTTCCGCTCCGTGTTAAACCGCTTTCCGCTAAGATCGCCATTGTCCTTTACCAACTTGCGCAGGTATTCCGGAGGTACATCATCCTCCTGATCGACCGCCTCGTGGTATGCGGCACGGTAGCCATACCTTTGCGTGTTGAGGCGTCGCCACGCTGCGATCCGTCGCTGTTTGGACTCATGTTCCTCTGCGACGTCGTGTCTGGTATCAATGTGCTGCGAGTATCGCTCATTTTCTTCCGGCTCCATCGCACGATATCGCCTTATTTGTGCGGACTACCAAGTGTCCTCGCAGTACTCTTGACGAATTCCTTTTCTTCAAAGTAATAGAGAGAGGGGGAGAGAAAGGGGGGATAATAAAGTTTAGCAAATAGACGAGAAAATCAAGGAAAGGAAGAGGGGAAACAGTGCTCAACAAGAAACAGAAAGAAAAAAAAAAGAATATCAGATGGAGTGCAGACAAAGAAGCTCAAGTCCGTCACACGCCCACAGAGAGGCGCACACATACATAGCCACCCTTTCCTCGTCAGCCAAAGCTCGCTGTCACGTTAGCAAATTAATAGAAGGGAAAGGGTATGGGATAGTGCTACGAAACAGGACCTTGCAGGCAGCGGTTGTTCCAAGAAAAAAAAAGGCAGCGAAGGGAATAGTCGCAGCATGGATAGCAGCAAAGCAAGTAAGAAAAAAAAATGATATCATTACAAGCACCTTCAGGGGGGCGTGAGGCCCGCATTTAAAACAACCTCACAAAATCGCTTTTCCGAGCTTGCGTTGGGGTCAATGTGGCCAAGGTTCTCTGCATCCCACATGTGGCGGCACTCTTCACATTCGTAGGTGAGATTAAACTGATCCTCATGCTTTCTCCCGAACATTTGCGTTGGTACGGAGTCTGGGTCGCTGCGCCACAGTGCAATCTCCATTCCTAAAGTGTCGCGTTCCTTGAATGAAATCATAAAAGTGTCACGTCCCATCTGATAGAACGGCAGTGGTGATTGTATCATCTGGAGAAAGCGGCGTATAACAGTATTATCCATTCGAAATATAAAAGCCAGATAGTTCAGCATTTTTCGGAGTTTCATACGTGTCGTTAATTTGGTCTGGGGGTGATCGCACTCAAAGTGATAGTTGAATATGACGTCAAAGTACTCATACTTCGAGTAACGAGAGATACCGAAGAGGTCGCACACGCGTGTATACAAACACTCAGTTCGATTTAGCCCGTCCTTCGGGCGCCCCGGTCGGCAGAAGTGGCGATGCACAGCGTCAAGAAGCACACGGGTCTCTGTAAAGTATGAGTCGTCGACGCGTGCCAAGTTCATTGTGAGACCAATGAGCTGGATTACCTCGGTTAAACTCCAGTCACGGATGCTCTTTGTACTTGCAAAGTCAATCTGGGTCACCTTCATCACAACCGCTGCCGCTGCTAGTCCACAAGCACAGATCCACAGTAAAAGGCATACAAGTATCTTTATGTAATCCACAAGACCAAAAGCGTTCTGCGCCATTGGAAGGATCTTGTTCATGGCGTACGTCGGAGATACAATAGACACCACACGCAAAGCAGAGAATGTGGAAATCTTGTTTGCAAGCACAGCAATGTCGCCTGCAAGATTGGTACCGATATTATCACGTATCGCCGCCTCGAGAATTACGCATAACATAAAAAACAGCAGAAAGTAAACTACCCCAAACTCGATACAAAAGACCACCTTTGCCATTACCATGACCCACTTGAGGTATTCCATGGACGCTGTATCTTGAAAAACATTGATGGCCACTGTGGAGCAGTTAACGACGATCATAATAGCCATCTTGCTGAGAGAAAAAAACTCCATGATATCAATACTACCTTCAAACATGCCTCCAAAAATGTACTTAAGGCACGCCTGATCCCACAAGGGAACACGATACGGTTTGTTCATAAGCGTCACATACCGTTGCTGCTCGAGGCGGCGGCCGACATACTGTGGGGGAAGTGGTTGCATCTCCGCACGGGGCACATACGCCTTATCCGCCATGAGTGGCTTCGTTTTGGAATGCTCCTTGTTCGCGTTGGAATCCGTGCAAAGAAGTTTATCTTCAGGTGGATCGTCCCCCTTTGGCACCACGTAATATGAAAATGGGGGCACAGAGTAGATATTCACCTTTTCTTCGGGTGGTCCATCTTCCACCCTCGGTAGGTCATCATCATCCATTACTCTACAACAAAAAAAAAAACAGTAAAAAACCCTTGAGCAACTCCTGAAGGATATCCTTAAGTAAAGAATTTACCTTACTACGTAGACTCACATACAAAGGAAAACAAAGGGGAAAGAACAGAAAAGAACAAGGGACTGAACGCCATCTGAGAAACACCAAGTAAGAACCAAGGGGAAAGCAACGCACACTCAAAAAAAAAAGACACAAAGGCAGTTGCACAGCGCAGCATCCTTGTTTTCAATCCCTCTGTAAATACACAGCTACCGCAAGCCTACATATCCGGAATGGCCTTAAAGATGTAAGCATTCGGTTTCCTTTTCTGAATCTGCACAGCGGCATTGATCACGTCGGGCCATCGAACCTCCCGCTCCGTGCGACGCTGCATAAAGCGAAGCGGTTGAAAGCCTGCAAAGTTCCCTGTGCGAGTGTAGTGACTCTCGTAAAACCACTTAACTGGACGAGACTGAATGCGACGCTGTTTGCGGAAGTCAGCATCCGGTGTGTCTGGCACGTGCTCCTGATATTGCTCCTGTGACGGTGTATTCTCGATACCCCACTCCATGTTGGGGGCCCAGAAGCGAAAATCCGCCCACTCTTCTTTCCAGTACCACGCCCGCATCTCCGACATCTTTGCTGAGCGAAGTGTACCATCAGGTTGACGAATGACAAATCTTCGGCGTTTTTCGTTGGTTGGATCCAGTTCTAGCTTTTTCAATGCATCATGTCCCACGTTGACACCAATCTCGGCAAACATCCAGTTGTGTTCAGACTTGTTGGCATGCTGGCGGTGCGGACCTGCCCAAACAGGCATTTGTCCATACTGCTGAACTGGCTCCCCAGTTCTTCCAATCATCTCAGGAAACATGCGTCGGTACACGTCGTAGTTGTCTCCCCAGTAGTCTTCGTAGTCTTGCTCTGTCTGCAAAAATCGGTAGGGATCATCCATCTCCCAGACATTGGCATAGCTTGCCTCGCGACGGTTGACGAGATCACGGAAGAGAAATCTATCACTGTAAAAAGTGATCTTTTGTTCAGCAAAGCGCATTTTCCCATAAAAGAGGCCGTGTTTTCGCGCCCGAACGTCCCGGATCCATTCCAACGCAAATAGCCGTTTGGGGAGGGACCAGTCAGGCTCCACGCAAGCATCATAACACGCCTTAAAATGATGCCACACAAGAATCTTGCGAACCAAGGTAAAGTCCAGACCGTACATCTTTGACAGTCGCTCAGGGGGCCATCTTTCTGGTGCCTTGCTCCACAGTGCAAAGAGCTCAGGGCCCAATTCATCACGCACCTTGTAATCCTCATTAATCTCATAGCGAAGCCGCTTTGACATATCAAAGAACTCAGGTGTACCCAAACTCGTTTGAAACGCAATTTTGCGTTGCAGCTGTTCCTTGTTATGCGGTGAATTCTGCGTAAGGGCCTCCAACCAAAGAATATCCACCGGAGACATTACTGCCAAGAGAGGACGGATGCGCCTATCAAAATGTTCTCGTAATTTTTGCATGCCTTCTTCATCAAGGGACTTAAACCACTCATTAAGGAACTGAATGTAATCGCTAAATGTACAAGGATAGCCTGCATCACGATCTCCAAATTCTAGCGTTCCCCACCTTTCTTTGATTATTTTGCGAATAATTTCATCATCTTGCAAGAACCCATCCTTATTAGATGACGATGATTGATTGCGTTTCCTATAAATTGCTATCTTCTCAGCGTTAGTCCGACTTGGGAGTTTTAGCAACTCAACAGAGAGTATGTTCTGCAGGTACCACGCACCAAAGGGATTTGCCCACCAGGGGATGTCGTACCGTCGATCTTTGAGAGATTGGGGCATATCCATGAAAGGTTGCAACGCCTCATCCATATCCTCTGAGCGTGCACGATTCTGCCACAGATCCCATTGCGGCGCATCAAACGACTTCATTGTGCTAAGGTCCTTCGTCCAAACCTTCGGATCGCGCCATTGGATTGGCTTGGGGGGCTCCGTTAAAACATGGTGCTTCCACGACTTGTGTTCGCGGGGCCCACGCTTGTTAAACGGGTATCGGCGATGAATAAAACTTCGGCGGAGCATGTTTGCCTAAAAAAAAAAAATAAGATGCAAAGACCTGTGACCTGACCTATATGTCGTCCCCCTCACTCAGTTCCACCCTTACCCTATTTGTGTGTTTTTTCGTTGAGTTTATATGCATTCGTGTGGTAGAAGATACATAAAAAAAAGAGCATTACTACCAGCAGATTGTATCCCCGCTTCAAGAAAAAAAACACTTTAACCTAGTTGGACAGAAGAAAAAAATACACGTCGCACAAATGTCTACACGCTCTCTCTCACTAATCACAAAAGGAAACAGGCACCGGCACACGTCAACTTTGTTCAAGAAGGATATCAGGTTCTTCTTTTACGCAGATTGGCTAAAAGGGAAGCTAACTGTGCCAAGTCTGCGACAACGTCCACTGAGTCAGATTACAGCTCGTGAATAGAGTAATGATGAGCGTAAAGAGCACAACAAATGGAATCGGGTACATTAACTTCTGCTGTTGTGTTAGTATCGGAACCTCCAAATATCCTAGAAATACAATGTATAAATACAGTACGCAGCCCATCATGTACAAAGAATTGCTTATCAAGGACGTCAAAAAGGATGTTCGAAGAAGCAGAGGCAGTAAAATAAACTGAACGACCTTGGTCCACATAAAGTACGAGAAAAAACCGTTGCAATGGATGTCAAACGAGTAATGCCAATCAACCTCTCGGCGCACTTCCTGTAGATGGCCACCACCAACCAGAAGTCGATTTACAAAAATCCACGTTGCCGTTGACACAATCACGCCTGTGAGAAAGTAGTTTAGCGCCACTTCGTACAAGACATTGTATATGATTTGGAAAAGTCCACCACTGAGTGCCAGGCCGTATGCCACAGCTGTAATAACTAATGCCAAAACCTGGAGAACAACAAATGCCGGATCATCTCGATGGTAGTGATTTTTTGTCATTTTTCGTGCCTTGTTCATTTTGCTAACCAGCGACGGCTTCAGACAAAGAGAGTACATCTGAGACAGAGCCGAATCCAACTCCATCTGGTCAACTTGAAGGGCACGACGAGCAAACTCTGGTAAACGTGATACCCATCTCGATGAGCCTGTGAGGCGCTGGGGTATCATTGTTCTATTTACTTTTTTTTTCACTGCAACTGGGCGAGCACTAACTAAAAACAGCACCCATACAGAAAAAAAAACGAAAAAAAGCATTCAAAGGAATCAGCTACATAATAATATCTGAAGTTTCTTAGTCTCTGTTCTTTTTTCTCATTGATCAGCAAAAAAAAAACACGAAGGTAATATACATATTGATTTGACTCCAAATTCGTGTTTCGGTGAGAGCCTGGAAAAAAGAAATACATAAACACAATCTTCCATTTACAGATCGTCTGAAGACCCAAAAGTGCAATTAAAGGTTTTTGTCAACAAGGTACTGTTGTAAGAATAGTGTCCAGGGCCAGGGTTACACTCAAGATCGCGCTTAAACCTTCCATCAGTGCCCCATGTGGTATTCATAAACCGACTTCCGCCTGAACCCACCTTCTCAGCAACATCATAATGACCAGGACCAGGGTAAGAATTGCTCAGATCTTTATTCTTGAAACGAGGAGCCGTACCCAAATATGCACCACTAGTGCAACTAGGCTTAGGCCAATCATATTTCACATCATAGACACGGTCTGTAGAAGGATTTACTGGACCATTACCAGTAGAACGAGCAAAAGTTTCGTGCCTTACACGTGCCGGATGAATACGACGCGGAACACGTACGACAGGATGACGAGCTTCGAAAACCCCGGTCTCCTCAGGAAGCTTTGAAATAGGAAACCTCGATAAAGTGGAGCGAAAAGGTACCGAAGCCAACTCGTATTTCTGCATTTTCGCTGGTTTATCAGCTCCATAAGCTCCTGGTCCAAGGTTTGTGCCCATAGGTAGCCTGTTACGCTCTGATCCCGAAACAAACGAAGAAGTCCCTTTGCCTTTGCATTGTGCACGTGGTCGGCGTGGTGCAATCTCTCCAGTGTACGCACCTGGACCTGGCTCATTATCGCGCCAATCTCTCTTGTCACGAGGCGCTGACGAACCAAAAGCGGAAAAATTTTCAGGATTCTCATTACGATATTGTTCCAACGTTTGAAACATAGCGGGTATATCATAAGCACCTGGCCCTGGATTTTTACTTGCACCGCCAATCATGGATCGCATTGTCTTTGTTGCAAACATAGAAGTCGGTTTTCTATCGTACAGAGCATTGCCTGAATCAGAAACGTCGTAATGTCCTGGTCCAGGTACGTCATTAAACCGCGGAGGTTCACGGGAACTGTACTTAGCAAAATTTGCCGCTCGTGGGTGCGCACGACAGCCTGAGGTGTAATTTGGATAATACACTCCTGGACTGCCAGAAGCTGATCCAGCAAAGCCTTCGGGATGCGATTTGCCCACAGTATATGAGCGCCCAGTACGACCCCATCTATCTCCGTCGTGATTGTATTCACCTGGGCCAGGAACATCATCCGCTCTAGGACCGAAAAAACGGTCCACCGTAGAAGCAAACGGAACAATCGAGATGTCTCCTTTTTGTTGGTTTTCCGTGATTATATTGTATGTTCCAACCCCAGGTGATGCGGCTGTTTGATGCGGGGCAAACCTATCGCTTGTGGTATTAAAGGGTGCCACTCCATGACCTGGTTGTGATGAATTGAACGTTAAGTCATAAGACCCTGGCCCAACTTCTGGACCGGTTCCACCGCCGGCGTAAAGACCTGGTAGCTTGGCTCGAAAAAGAGGCAACCTTTCATCGATCATTTTATCCACTTCAACTGTTTAAAAGAAAAACGCCAAGAGAGTAAGTGGAAATGCAATACAAAAACGGCAATTTACTTTTTCCTTAAAGGGAGCAAGAAAAAAAATTTTTTTTTCTCATCTTTTATTTTTCCAATCACAAATCGTTTTCGACTCTCTCTTTCTCTTAAACGTTATAAATAAATACGGCTATTAAGGAAATCAAGAAAAACACCGCCCACACCGTATACGAGGCAAGAAAGCGGCAACTTGGTCTCTTGAAAGGACGTGACGCACAAATTGAACAAAGATGGACTTCGGAACGCGTTGAAGAATAAACCACCGTATCTGACTGAAATAGAGCACAACATTCACCACAAAAAGAAACGGAAAAAGAATTATGGCTCTCCGCTCTAAACAGTTTTTTCCCATCTTTAGCATAAGGGCAAGAACGGCAACAGCTTCCGTATACCTCTTCACAGAGAGAGCACTCCCAAATAGCCGATTGCTGAGGATGGTTCATGCAATTAAAGTTGTTTGAAGAGAGCAACCACATCCTGTGACCTCGGCTACAAGTTGGTATCCAGGCAGAGTAGTACATCTCTAGAAGTTTTTCAAGAAGCATATCCATTATTCTTGTCACAATAAGTAAAAACGGAAATTCATTGTCACAAACCACTGTTGAAACAGGGTAATGTCCACCCGGTATACTATTGTTTTCTGTAGCGAACTGCAGACCCAATGGTCCACTAAAAGAACATGAGCGCCGAATCCCTCTGAAATAAAGTTGTCTTTCCTCTTCAGTATTCAAATTTTGTGTTTTCATCACCGGTGCCGAGAGTGCCCGACCACTATCACTTGGCTCAATGCTAAAAGAGCGTGTGCAACGACGTGTCTCCACCACAGCTGAAAGACCATCAAAAGAAGTCATGAGATAAACGAGGGATTTTTTCAAGAGAGAACCCACCATGGGCTCTAAATCACTCTTTTCTAGGCGAGACTCAATCCAAATATAGACTTCCGCAGCTACATCAAGTGATTCAGTCCCAAAGAGCTTAAGCACGTGTACTGCACCGTCCTCACCCGTCCAATTCAAGACGAAATGCTGACATATCGTTTCTACAATGTTCGACCGTGTGTGACTATCTGTATTGCTTACCTCACGAATGACACTTTGAACCGTTACCGCAGAAAAAACCTCAAGACACCGCGCCAACATAGTGGCACCGGTAAGGTCAATACATGTCAAAAAGCTGCTTTTTAAAATCATTGTAAAAACATCCATAAGGATAAAGCTGTATGCCTCATAATGATGAAGTACATACGTCTCACGGATTCCTTCCTCTCTTCTATTTGGCTTGATAATTGCACACCATAACTCAAGTGAATTATTAAAGTGCTCCCTTCTACAATCCACAAATTTGTCAAGCGAAATTAAAGCCTGGCGTAGAGCGATCAACGTGTTGCGGTAAAAAGATATAGCCGGATAGAGTGTATCCCATGCAGAAAGAGCCAGTGAATCAATCGAAAACTCTTTTCGCAGCATAATAGAGAATTTCGAGTTGTGTGTAGAGGGTTTATCCTGCTCATTTTGATAAAAGGGAAGAAAACACTCTGTGAGAAATGGAACAAGTCTGAAAACAAGTGCAGCCGACACAACATCACCACAAGATGTACGATGGATTTCTAATTCGACCTGACGATTGCTCTTCATCCAGAGAAAACCTGGCGCCGACAACAACAGGGAGGCCGTAACGTCAGATGTTGACCACTGAACATCCTCCAAAGACCTTCTGGAACTGAGACGCTCCGCAAACGCAGAAGAGACAAAGTACTGAATATAAGCGGTCAAAAGTCTATGGTAGAGTGGCAGCTCTACACATACAGGTGTTCGCAGAAATTCCATTAGGTAGCTTCGCAACGCACCAATCTTTTTACACAGTGTATCCAACCGCGGAAGTCGAACCATTCCAGTGCCACTTTGTTGGGCCTTTCGCGTAACATAGAGAAGCATACGCAGAACAAAATACGGGAGCGGAAAACATGGAAGTGAGGTTAGGACTTGTTCATGGTCTGTTTCGAATCGCGTTACAAGCGGTGGATTCCAAAATGGAATAAGTAGCATAGATGGACAACGAGAACGGGAAAGCGTATACCAATTCGCTTCAGTTGATTCCCCCAACAGCTCATATGATGATGAATACAGCGTTGAAAGAGGCATATCAAAGCAGCAATTCCGGGATACTGCCTCGGTTTCCACCCCAGAGTCCCCCTTCCATGACTTCTTCAGACGCGTTGAGAAGTCTTTTGGTGGCACTGACACAGCCTCTACTAAATTACAGAAGTGACCACCAGGAGCCAGAAGTCTAAAAATAGCTGCAGCGACCTTTCCATTTGGCTGAGCATTACCAATGTCCATCCATGATAAATCGTCTGTCGTGTTAACCGTTCGTGCACTGGTATACTTTCCAAACATCACGTCGCATAGATTCAAAAAACCACCTTTTTCGAAAAATGTATCTAATACCACCCTTGTCTCATATTGAAGTGGTTGCAACGGGTAGTTGACATGCTTAA